ATCTCGCCTCTTGAATAATTGAATTCTTTATATCATAAGTTTGTATGTTTTTCAAACTTATTAAAATAACCTCTATCTCCAATAATAATAATGACTCACAATCGTTATTAAGGGGTCGTATTTTTTTTAAAATAAAATGGGGGGGGGGGGGGATTAAAACTACGACTTTATAACACACGGCCGTTTTGAGGATTAAATGAGAATAAACACAATAATCATGTTATGAATTGATTTATTCAGCAACTTTGGACAAAATGTCAACAGATTTGCAACTGTGTAAGATTATGTTGATTATTCATACAATTGTGTTAGTACCCATTGCAGGACAGTTTCAAAGAAAATGACGGATTCAGAGAAAACTTGTCCTTCGGAGGGAATAAACCTCGTCTTAGTATCAGTCAATGTCGGACTGACGGCGCTGCCATCTGCAACATAATTCTGAAGAGCAAATGCTTTTTCGTGTTTCGGCATGCAAGACTTTTGTACATATAAATTCACAAATGCTTTTTTTCTCCTGATAAAAACGCATTATTCATACAAATGTATGTATACGAGTTTTCCTCGACATATGCTGAGAGTAAATGTGTCAAACACAATCAATTCTATCAAACGTATTCAATTCTGTCAATGACTTGTTAAACTTGTGTCTGTGAGTAAAGCAATGAATACAGCATTATAAAAAATATCAAGAATATTTCAAACAAAATTTCATCGATTGAGTACCGTGGGGATCACAAATATTTACATTTATTAACATCAAGTTTATCGTTTATTTCTTAAAACAAACGTTGGTGCATACATCTTATAAAACAAACAATATTGAAATATGAAAAATAGATGTTTTTATTTTTGCGGCTACAAAACAACTACAAAAATGAACAAAATCGACACCAATATGTCATAAGGGAAAATCGGTGTGTAAAACTGTTGATCACACATAACACAGCACTTGGTTTTTTTTTTTAAATCCTAACATACTGATACACTGTATGTCATTGTGAGGACTAAGCACAAACGTCTGCATTCACAGCGTGATTGAGCATACAAAATGTTGTACCTGAGGACAGTTTTTGAGTACAGACTTAATTTTACAAATAAGCCTATAGATAGCATTGAAATACACAAACGCTTAGACACGTGTTTTTGTTAATAGGTAAGCAAGTACCGGTTATTAAGGACATCAAGGTTTGTACAAAAATAAACAAATATCTGTACGTGTTTATATGTGAGGGCTTGTTCTGTACTCATAAGTGCTTTTATACAATGGTTGATTTCTTGAGTAAATATATTTTGTGTTCATGCCAAGAGTATACTTATTCATCGTGCATAACATCGTATTTGAGTCCTGTTAAGTTTATTGTCGGCGGTTTTAATTTTTCGCTACCTTTGGGGATAAAACAAAATTGTTCAAAAGTGTAAAATGGAGATAATATATGCATAAAGATATTTTGTCAAGGCAAGAATACATATTTAAAATAAAATCTTGCACGTCAAGTTTTAATTCGTTCGAGTTGTGGCAAAGTTTAGAGTTGGGGACGCCTTCTCGGTTACAACAATCTAGGTCCCTCAGACGCTGTAAGGTGAATGATGGGTGGGGGAGGCCTTCTCTGTTACAACAATCTAGGTCCCTCAGACGCTGTATGGTGAATGATGGGTAGGGGAGGCCTTCTCGGTAACAACAATCTAGGTCCCTCAGACACTGTATGGTGAATGATGGGTGGGGGAGGCCTTCTCGGTAACAACAATCTAGGTCTCTCAGACGCTGTATGGTGAATGATGGGTGGGGGACGCCTTCTTTGTTACAACAATCTAGGTCCCTCAGACGCTGTAGGGTGAATGATGGGTGGGGGACGCTTTCTCTGTTGCAACAATCTAGGTCCCTCAGACGCTGTAGGGTGAATGATGGGTGGGGGACGCCTTCTCTGTTACAACAATCTAGGTCCCTCAGACGCTGTATGGTGAATGATGGGTGGGGAGACCTCTGTTACAACAGTCTAGATCCCTCAGACGCGGTAGGGTGAATGATGGGCGGGGGAGGCCTTCTCTGTTACAACAATCTAAGTCCCTCATCATATCTAATGTATAGCTGTATGATGCAGTTTAATTCATTACTTGGCTCTACTGTGTCTCATTCTTATATGTATTGAAACGTGTTTTGTAAATATTTGTGAGATTTGGATGAAATATATTTATATTAACTTGTAAACAAAATAATTATGGAGAAATCATCCTTGGATTAGTTTTTTTATGACAGACCGACAATAGATTTGAACATGGCATAAGAGTATAACCATTCATTTATACATATCGTGAAATATTAACACTCCCGCGAACTTGAGTTGTCGTTCTTGACTACAACGCTAAGCATGATAGGAGCCCGCTCAAGCCGAATTCGTCGCCCGGACGGAGACACAGTTTCATGTTATTCGTAAGTTCTTTCTCGTTTATTGTGAAGTAAGTGTACTGTTTTTATATCAAGAAATTATTCAAAACTCATATGCGTTCATATTTTAGCATGCGAAGCTCTGGATTTGTCGTGACAAATACCGGGGTAAGAAATTCCCTTTGTTGGAATTTCCCAACTCTAAATTAGATCGAAATGACGACATTTGCTTCATTCAAGCGATTTCATTGGTTGGTATAATAAGATGATGGATAATCGTCCTACGTCATTTCAAAAGTAATATGCGATTGGCTGAGAAAAAGAAAAGTTATAAACGCGAAACCAGGGAAACCCCTGCAAGGCGTACTCTCGGTATACAGTCACGGACTATCTCCTGACTTCACGATAACCTTTTTTGACGGTGAAATTCTGTTTGCTTTTAAATTAGAAATTAATTGTACATTTTCATGAATACTTCAACTCTAATTCGCCGAAAGTAATAGAGTTAATTTTTCATCGATAGCGAACAACCGACGGAAAACTCAACAAACTCGGGCTTTCATGCACAAGAAACTGTTCACTCGCCAAGAACAGTAACTCTGTATATATCTCAAAGGACAAGTATTTCCCGCTATGATTTTTCTGATGTATTTAGGACACCATATAGTTATACGACAGATAAACTCTCTTTATTTCCCCAAAAAATGAGATTTAGGAATGATAAAAAGGAATTTGTTAGTATCAACACCGGCTTTGTTTTCCCCTTTTCCCCTGTATTTTTTCACCTTACTGTGAAACCATTAATTATCGTGGGGTCTGTTTTCGTTGATTTCGTGGTTACTCTTCATCAATGAATTTATAAGCTGATAAACTGTTAAAATAAACATGAATAATTCATTGAGCTATATATTTATCCACAAAACCAAGTGTTTGATTTGAAAACCTCAAAAATTTAGACCCACGAAATATATGATATGACAGCACTTTTCAACAAAATGTAATGATTAATGATATGCTTGTTCTTAATTGATGATAATCAAACCACATTCATAGCTTCGTGTATTACTTTCATACATTTATCACAGCCAATGCACAAAAGTCGGGACTATATGACATCTTCTTCTTCAAAACCATACAAAGTAAAAAAAAATATATAATTTTTTACAATAAAAAGTTTTCTATACAATGAAAATCACAGAATTCTCAATAAAGGGCAAAGCACAGTAAACATCCATTCATCCATGACCTGAGTAAAACAGTCCACTAGAAACAGTCTGATGGAAAACTCTCACCGAAAGTAGTTTTTAAAATTGCTTATTTTTAAATCAATATTTTTTCCAAATCAGATATGGGTTTTCATTAGCTAAAAGGAATTTAGATTTTATGTTACAGTGGTTGTGAAGAATAAAACAGAAAGTAAGTTACATCGTCATCACAATTATAGATATCATTAGATACCGATTCCATGCACGAATGTAAAAAATACTATCTTATCTTAAAACATTCACACCAGAATTTAATTCAAAAGTCACACACTGCATTTATGTAGCACGTTATGAACGCGGTCAAAGTGAACTCCGAACGTACGTAGATGAAGGGAACGTTCGGAACCTGTAAGAACCTCCGTAGATAACGAAACTTTGGAATATTTTTACGTATCAGACCGAACTATGTTGACAGTCGATCACAATATGAAAGTTAAGTTAGGATTGACGAAATAGTCACGGAGCAGACTTCATTTTATCGATTGTCAATCAAAACAACAAAGAAATAACGATATGTCAACATAACCTCAATTTAACCTCAAATTAATTTAAGTATTCGGAAATGAGAACAATTAAACAATAGCGGACCATAAGGAAAACTCACGAACATTAAACCCGCCCAGTTTTATATCGTACAATGGAATAATGTATAAAACTAACGATGTAGATGAATCTGACTCATTTTTCTCGATGAGCAATCTTACCTTGTTATAAACATTGATAGAATGACGAAAGTCTAATGATATCAGTTGTATTATTAGATGAATTTATTACTTTACGATCACAAAGAATATAAAATATTCAAATACTTACACAATGAAGGTAAAGTTAAGAAAACCGGATATCTTCCCTTATATACTATTGACTTTAAGATTCTGATAAAACCGCAAAATCTACCTATCCAAATTTACAACTCCTATGATATTAAAGTGTGAGATATCTACAAATATACCTTATAGGCACCTGTGCATAAAATAAGTCCTGAAAAAAACCTCTGTTACCTGTTTTTATGGACGTCTACTCAGACTGTCTGGTATACATCGACCTTTAACCTCTGTTTCCTGTCGTTTGTGGATGTCTACCCAGACTGTCTGGTATACATCGACCTTTAACCTCTGTTTCCTGTCGTTTATGGATGTCTACTCAGACTGTCTGGTATACATCGACCTTTAACCTCTGTTTCCTGTCGTTTGTGGATGTCTACCCAGACTGTCTGGTATACATCGACCTTTAACCTCTGTTTCCTGTCGTTTATGGATGTCTACTCAGACTGTCTGGTATACATCGACCTTTAACCTCTGTTTCCTGTCGTTTGTGGATGTCTACCCAGACTGTCTGGTATACATCGACCTTTAACCTCTATTTCCTGTCGTTTGTGGACGTCTACTCAATCCTTCTGTGGATCCATTACTTATCACACCCGTTTCCTTGGAAACGTCGGTGTCTTCTAATCCGGATGATTCTTCCGTGTCACTCCTGACGTCTCTCATCTGTCCGCAATATTATAGTGATTTCAATATAAACAGGGAATGACATGACATGTTAAAGTTTCTCATACGAGGAAGAAGTCACAAGAAAGCATTTTTTTTCTTCAACTTTTTCACCTAATATAGGTATTTTAATAGAAAAGATTCAACGTGATCTAATAACATGACCGAAGTCGGGATAAGTATTTCCGGAAGTGAATGAATGTGTGATGATAATAACATATTCTTACCTTCTTGTCGCCAGTAAACTTAGAGGTGATGATGCCGACAAGCATAACAGTCCATAAGATATGTAGTACTTGTAGTACCCACAGTAGACCGTTTAGGAGCCAGTAAACAGGGTAACGTGTGACGTTAGGTATATACTGTTGTGATGTAAAAGTGGCAGACCACACCATCCTGGAATATTAGAAGCCACAGCGTCAGTAACTATCAAATATTTATTCTGTACAGTCTGAAAAATTACCGGAAAAAACATGGTCAGGCAGGTGACCCACAGACCCTATCATGTCCATTCGGGAAATCGCACCATGTACGTCTAGGTGAAAGGGTAGAACGCGGACACTGTGCTACCAAACCACATACAGTTTTTAGATAAATTGTATTATGAAAATGCACTATTACAATTTTATTTAATATTTCATATATCAGTTTGTGTCTATCAGAAGGTTTAAGGATATACAGAGTAATGACACCCGACGAAACAAAAACTTTACAGTACCACACAAATTTGTTCTTGACAATCCACCCCGACACATATAATGTTTAACAATCCATCCCGACACATACTAGCCTTGACAATCCACCCCTACACATATAATTTTTGACAATCCATCCCGACACATATAATTCTTGACAATCCACCCCGACACATATAATCCTTGACAATCCACCCCGACACATAAAATCCTTGACAATCCACCCGACACATATTATCCTTGAAAATCCACCCCGACACATATAATTCTTGGCAATCCACCCGACACATATAATCCTTGACAATCCACCCGACACAAATAAGCCTTGACAATCCACCCGACACATATAATTCTTGGCAATCTACCCGACACATATCATTCTTGACAATCCACCCCGACACATATAATCCTTGACAATCCACCCGACACATATAATCCTTGACAATCCACCCGACACATATAATCCTTGACAATCCACCCGACACATATAATCCTTGACAATCCACCCCGACACATATAATTCTTGACAATCCACCCGACACATATAATCCTTGACAATCCACCCGACACATATAATCCTTGACAATCCACCCGACACATATAATTCTTGACAATCCACCCCGACACATATAATCCTTGACAATCCACCCGACACATATAATCCTTGACAATCCACCCCGACACATATAATCCTTGACAATCCACCCCGACACATATAATCCTTGACAATCCACCCCGACACATGTAAGCCTTGAAAATCCACCCCGACACATATAAGCCTTGGCAATCCCCCCGACACATATAATCCTTGACAATCAACCCCGATACATATAATCCTTGACAATCCACCCGACACATATAAGCCTTGACAATCCACCCGACACATATAAGCCTTGGCAATCCACCCGACACATAATCCTTGACAATCCACCCCGACACATATAATCCTTGGCAATCCACCCGACACATAATCCTTGACAATCCACCCCGACACATATAATCCTTGACAATCCACCCGACACATATAATCCTTGACAATCCACTCGACACATATAATCCTTGACAATCCATCCCGACACATATAATCCTTGACAATCCACCCCGACACATATAAGCCTTCACAATCCACCCCGACACATATAAGCCTTCACAATCCACCCCGACACATATAATCCTTGACAATCCACCCTTGACAATCCACCCCGACACATGTAAGCCTTCACAATCCACCCCGACACATATAATCCTTGACAATCCACCCCGACACATATAAGCCTTCACAATCCACCCCGACACATATCACAATCCACCCCGACACATATAATCCTTGACAATCCACCCCGACACATATAATCCTTGACAATCCACCCGACACATATAATCCTTGACAATCCACCCGACACATATAATCCTTGACAATCCACCCCGACACATATAAGCCTTGACAATCCACCCGACACATATAATCCTTGACAATCCACCCGACACATATAAGCCTTGGCAATCCACCCGACACATATAATCCTTGACAATCCACCCCGACACATATGTTTTACAATCAAACCCGACACATACAATGTTTTACAATCCACCCGACACATATAATCCTTGACAATCCACCACGACACATATAATCCTTGACAATCCACCCGACACATATAATCCTTGACAATCCACCCGACACATATAATCCTTGACAATCCACCCGACACATATAATCCTTGACAATCCACCCCGACACATATAATCCTTGACAATCCACCCCGACACATATAAGCCTTGACAATCCACCCCGACACATATAAGCCTTCACAATCCACCCCGACACATATAATCCTTGACAATCCACCCCGACACATATAATCCTTGACAATCCACCCCGACACATATAATCCTTGACAATCCACCACGACACATATAATCCTTGACAATCCACCCGACACATATAAGCCTTGACAATCCACCCCGACACATATAATCCTTGACAATCCATCCCGACACATATAAGCCTTGATAATCCATCCCGACACATATAATCCTTGACAATCCATCTCGACACATATAATCCTTGACAATCCACCCCGACACATATAATCCTTGACAATCCATCCCGACACATATAAGCCTTGACAATCCATCCCGACACATATAATCCTTGACAATCCACCCCGACACATATAATCCTTCACAATCCACCCCGACACATATTATCCTTCACAATCCATCCCGACACATATAATCCTTCACAATCCACCCCGACACATAAAAGACTTTACTACTCACCTGAACGGATAGATATACAGCTTGGAAAATATCCAGAGCGCAAAAAACAGGACGAATAAAACTTCCGCTAATTGTTGTTTCTTTAAATAGTTGACACTCTTAGAAGCCTGAAATTAGAGACATTTGACATTGTTCACAACTTTAAAAAACAAATTTTAATGAGGAAGCTTTTACTGGTACAAATCATATTACAACAATGAATTAACTTAGCATAATGGATTCATTCATCAATAAATGAGAACTATGACTAGAAAACACAGGTTTTATTATTCCCCCCAACAGACATACACAACTTCCCCGTTCATTCATCAATAAATGAGAAATATGACTAGAAAACACAGGTTTTATTATTCACCCCTAACAGACATACACAACTTCCCCGTTCATTCATCAATAAATGAGAACTATGACTAGAAAACACAGGTTTTATTATTCACCCCTAACAGACATACACAACTTCCCCGTTCATTCATCAATAAATGAGAAATATGACTAGAAAACACAGGTTTTATTATTCACCCCTAACAGACATACACAACTTCCCCGTTCATTCATCAATAAATGAGAAATATGACTAGAAAACACAGGTTTTATTATTCACCCCTAACAGACATACACAACTTCCCCGTTCATTCATCAATAAATGAGAAATATGACTAGAAAACACAGGTTTTATTATTCACCCCTAACAGACATACACAACTTCCCCGTTCATTCATCAATAAATGAGAAATATGACTAGAAAACACAGGTTTTATTATTCACCCCTAACAGACATACACAACTTCCCCGTTCATTCATCAATAAATGAGAACTATGACTAGAAAACACAGGTTTTATTATTCACCCCTAACAGACATACACAACTTCCCCGTTCATTCATCAATAAATGAGAACTATGACTAGAAAACACAGGTTTTATTATTCCCCCCTAACAGACATACACAACTTCCCCGTTCATTCATCAATAAATGAGAACTATGACTAGAAAACACAGGTTTTATTATTCCCCCCTAACAGACATACACAACTTCCCCGTTCATTCATCAATAAATGAGAAATATTACTAGAAAACACAGGTTTTATTATTCACCCCTAACAGACATACACAACTTGTTTCGTTATTTTACCCGTAACAGTCCTACACAACTTCCCCGTGTCTAACTTTTCCGCATTTTCACCGTTAAGTATGCAGGAAATAAACAAATATAAGTTTCGAATTTCTATTTCCGTACTTATGTCGCATTTGATTAAAATGCGCAAAAAATCATTGAGAAAGCACGGAAAATAATACGAAAACATATTCTGAAGTTTACATCAACTGTTACACTATATGAAGTATACAGGCACTGCAATTACCATATTTATATTTTAGCTCAATACTTTTTGTTTAAGGCTCTAAAATAGTAATCAAAATGTATATGTTTACAGTATCCAGTGTGTATGTTTACAGTACCCAGTGTGTATGTTTACAGTATCCAGTGTGTACGTTTACAGTACCCAGTGTGTACGTTTACAGTATCCAGTGTGTACGTTTACAGTATCCAGTGTGTATGTTTACAGTATCCAGTGTGTACGTTTACAGTATCCAGTGTGTACGTTTACAGTACCCAGTGTGTATGTTTACAGTATCCAGTGTGTATGTGTATGTTTACAGTATCCAGTGTGTACGTTTACAGTACCCAGTGTGTATGTTTACAGTATCCAGTGTGTATGTTTACAGTATCCAGTGTGTACGTTTACAGTACCCAGTGTGTATGTTTACAGTATCCAGTGTGTATGTTTACAGTATCCAGTGTGTATGTTTACAGTACCCAGTGTGTATGTTTACAGTATCCAGTGTGTACGTTTACAGTATCCAGTGTGTATGTTTACAGTATTCAGTTTCTGGTCAATGATGTGTAAATAACTACAAAGTATAATGTGTATGTTTACAGTATCCAGTGTGTATGTTTACAGTATCCAGTGTGTATGTTTACAGTATCCAGTGTGTATGTTTACAGTATCCAGTTTCTGGTCAATGATGTGTAAATAACTACAAAGTATAATGTGTATGTTTACAGTATCCAGTGTGTATGTTTACAGTATCCAGTTCCTGGTCAATGATGTGTAAATAACTACAAAGTATAATGTGTACGTTTACAGTATCCAGTGTGTATGTTTACAGTATCCAGTTCCTGGTCAATGATGTGTAAATAACTACAAAGTATAATGTGTATAAATACTTGTAAAAAACGTAAGTCATTGATATAACATACATACAGACATCATGATATCGTTGGAGTCGTGTAATAGCAGCACTAGTGCTCCAATTCGAGTCTGGTTACACATGAAGGAGAAATATATCAACAGAATGGTGACAAAATGATGGATGACCATTTCAGGAAAATCCGTTCTTTTGGTGTCAGTCATCAGAGTGACCAGACAATGCCAGTAGAACCCCATCTCTATGGTGTAGTACCAGTAAATATCATTGGTAACATGCTGAAACAATATCCATAGTAGACAGTATAATTATGTAGAATTGTCATAGGAATGATATTTTGATATATTAACAAAGAAATTAGCAACATGTCAATGAATCATAATTCAAACTCATATTCTATAAAACTAAGGTAAAACATGAACAAAAGAAATACGTACACCGCGACTCATGAAAACAAAACAAAAGTCAGACCATGTGTTCCAAAGGAGTATGCGTCTTCACCCTCTTGTTATAATGAAATTATTTCACACAAACAATACATCATAATAATCATTTCCAGACAATACACAAATAAAATTGAAGGATTCAATGAAAATAATGATTTACGTTGTTAAAACTTTAATTTCTGTATCAAACTTATCATTTAGGACTGTCGACATTAGCAGATGTAATTCGAAATGAAGATATTGTCAGGGGTACACAGAAGTAAACATAACATAAACAGATAGGCACACACAAAAAAGGAATCGTGAACCATGGGAACACATGCTCTTAAACACAGGTGTATGAAAAACGCAGCTATTCATTAATGCAAATTGTCCGCGCGGACAACTTGATAACAAACCATAGTATGTGTAATCTAACTACAGAAAAAAAAAACAACTTTTTTCAACGTTCACACCATATGTATGATAAATCATTAATTAAGAATGTCACCACCAGGTGGCAGATTTACTATCGATAAATCATCATGAGGGCTAACATAAGTATCATAAAAATATGTAATCTCGCAAGTCTGGCGTTAATTCGGTGTTCGGTAGAACAGCAACACAAAAAAACAAGAGAAGTTGTTTTGTAGCTTTCCTAACCTCTCCGCTAAATTCTTTAGAGGGAAATTAATTGAGAACTTACTTGTCTAGCGTTGTTAATCCAGCAGTGTTTAAAATCCCAAAAGTAAGGTTTCTGAAAATCAACAAGTGTATATTTAATGTTTCAAAGCTGATTACATGACATTTAATAAGAATGAGCTGACACGTCCAACAAGGTATCGGTAAAAAGTGTATGTGATTTCACATTTTGCTCATAAATCTAGTTTTATTTTAGCTTCATTCCTTCATGCATTAAATGTCAACTATCCATTTCTTTGTGGTAATTCGTGTGATTTGAAGTGTTAAGTACTTCAATGACTAAACCTATACAAATGTAACTTACATAGGTACAATACTTACATCCCAGAGAATATACAAAGCACAACAGAAACTGGTTGTATAGAACAGGAAATACCAGCTGAAAAGCAAAACGATAGAATAGGAATCATATACAAAGAAAATAATCTGGTTTGATATCTCAAAACGATTCATAAAAAGGGATATAACTCACTAGTAATTCTAGAACAGAAAATCCTTTATATTTGGGAAAATTAATTCTATTCAACATTAATGCACATACAGCTATACTTGCCTCTCCATTGGACGGGAAGAGGGTCAACTTTACTACCATGGACTCTTATGACCCAAATCCTGTCTCTATGGAGGAACAAGTATACTAAATATGCATTTATTTCATTTAACAACTACTAAATTCTACAGATTGGATTATTTTATATTTTTTTTACTAATTATGTCTAGTTACCGAAATGAATAAGAGTTATCTCCCTTACAATCATTAATTACATAAAACTCAGTAGTTGTCTGTCTGTCTGCATGCATGCATCCATGCATGCATGTATGTATGTATGTATGTATGTTGTATATACTTAGTATGAAAGTGTGCTAAAGACTGATGTCTGTATACATGTTTATTCTATTCTATAACTGTCTGACCACCTGTGTTGTCTTCGGAGAGGACTTATATAGGCTTATGCCTGCTGTCCGATCCTATTAATGCAATTTGTTTTTGTATAAATAAAATATTTTGAAACCAGAAACCAAAGAAAACAATGTATACACAAATAAATAAAGACAAGTATTTCATAAAAATATCACCTATGATGAACGTCAACATCTTCAAGATTTCTTATACACGTACAAGTGAATAGCAAATTTCAAAACAGATTTAGAACTAAATGATGATAGAAAAACATGCCTTTTAAAACTTTATCATACTGCTGTCTTTTCCTCTCTTGGACCAGTGTAGCCAAATAATGAATTAAACTTTGTCATACTGCTGTTTCGTCCTTCACAGAAACGAAGCTAAATATATCGACATATAGATCAATAAGGCGGGTCTGGTTATATCATCTTGCTGTTTTAAGTAGATTCAAATCAACGCATAAGTATATGTGACAACGGACAGTCTGTCAAAAACACCGACGGCTGTTCTGATTCGTGGCGGCGCCAAAACCAACATACTGCATTGTCACAAATATCGACAAGTTATACAAAAGTGTCAACACACATGACCAAGCGGTACCGAAGTGTCGCACACAGGTTCCATCGAACGTCAACAATTATAGTCATGGTCTGTGACGTCAACACAACAGTCAGTCTTCTTCGTCATCCATACCTTAAGCTTCGTCATGCATCACATCTATCGATAAAACTTACAGCATGTAAAAAGAACATATCCTCTTTATTTCAGAAGCGCTGAAACAGTACTTAATTGCATGTTTTTGCTCATACCTGCATTCCCTGAACTTTTTCATCCGCCCTGGCTTATCTTGTTCACGTCTGTATCTGAACCATCTCTGTATTTGTCGTTCTGTCAAACTTGTCTTTTTGGATAGTTCCTGTTGTCAAAAACACAAACACAAAAGTTCTTCATGAATCATAACATAGAACAGGTGACATTCTTTGAAAACCAAACTCGCGAAATTTAATGCATTTTGGAGTTATTCGAGTCCCCACATACAGCTTTATATTCATCACTATGGATCTTGCCTTGTCACCTCACTCAACAGTACGGCCCTTATTTTCACCTAAGAGTCCTAGAAGGATGAAACAGCTGTATGATACAGTTAATTATTTGGCACTACTGTTTTGAAAGGTGTTATTTATTTTCTAACAACTATTTCTTGTGGCAGTTAATACTTACAAATTATTCAGTGATCATTGGGCGTTTATATATAGGAGTATGAAGAGGAATTGTGTCCCTGTTTAGGTATTATTTAGTGCTAATGTCAAGGATAATATCAAATCGTAAACGTATTCCTGATTATCGTTTACAAGACTGTAGTTATATTAACAATAAAGACTGGGCATCACGTGATCAATCATAATGACATTTTGATACCTTGTCGACACAAGCAAACATATATCTTTTATATACCCCAATAACACTGACAAACACAAAGTCAACATATTGTTACTATCGAGATATTACAAGACATAAATATGCAGCTGCAGTTGAAAGATTCTTTTATCTCACTTTTGCCTTCTAATAATTGAAGTCACAAGGAAAGAGATTCATCCTCTATAGAAAAAATACTCCAATATAGGTTGTGAAATTTTATTACATAACTTTCCAAAATTAGATTCATTGTCAGCGTGATAGCAGTTTATTCCACGTAATTATACCCGATCCATCATAAAGAACGTAATTATATCTTGTGTCACGAATTCTACATTTCACGAAATGCACAATCTGAAAACTGTTCTATTGTAAAAAAAACCTAGTCGTTTATATTCTGAATTGGTGATGTTTACAATGCAAGGTAAAGTAATCTGAACAGAATTGATCGAACGAGTAAGCACATACCTAAGAATCATTTATAAATTGCGCGCGGTCGTGAGATAATAACAACCTTTTAGGCTATAGAATATTTTAATGGGGTATGAAAGATTACATCAAAATACAATTAAAACACAGATATGTACTTAATACTCCCACTATGGAGCTGTGAGACCAAAGATACAGGCAGCCTTGATGTACACGCTTCGTTACAGACGAAAGTCACAAGTTTGAACAATAAATATTTAGTCTGAGATCCCTTCCTCTCTACACACAAATCCTCTCCGTTTGTTTCTCTTCTTTATTTTGCATTTTATATACCCACCAAACATGGTAAGTAGGCGATGGTAAGTAGGCGAGGTGGTGAAGCAGAGGTTTCCTGTTTTGGTGATTGATTACAATAGATTTTCTGCTGTATGTCCGGACATTCCTGTATCAGTTGTGTGTTTATGCTGACTCGTATAAAATGTACAACTGTTATTGTTAGAACTGTTATGAAACGAAATCTTGTCTGTAAATTCTCATTTAGTTAGTATACTTGACTACCTGTGAACTATGAACTGGTTTTAAGATTTTTACATTCATTGGTGTGTAACATATATTGGTTTTTACCTTTGTACATGTACATTGTATATTGGTAAATCAATGTATATATGTTACACAACAATATATTTAAAACACACGCACACACATACACAATTTATCGATGTATTTTTGTATTTTACATCAAGTCCACTTTAAAATCCTCTGTCTTAAGAAAGATAGTAATAGTACACCTGTGTTAGAACACCGTTCAATTGAAGGATCAACAACTGTTTGTGGGAATACCTCCCTGATATAGAAACCAAAATAGGTCCGGCAGTATACCGAATTAAATCGTTTATTTACAAATATATTTTCTAACAATTTAAATACAATAATTAACTGAAATTAATAAGAGACAGAATATTGCTGCACGCGGACTTATATCTGTATACATATATATCTTAACATACTTATATAATGTAAGTATATAATATAATACTTATATAGTTAATGTTTTACTGTACCAGCCATACTGTCTATGTATGTTATAGGAAAAATACACCAATCAGATGTCTTATGTTCATTTCGATGATATGCAGTGCAAATGTAAATATAGGAAATTGTCTCTTGAAATTTGATCGGTCCATATCGTTGAATTTTCTTTGTAATCGTAAGCTCAAGCTCGCATTGGATCCGGTCTAGCAGGTCGACATGTATTACAGTGGGTGGTCACTTCCTCAGAAACATCTCATTACACATACCTCGAACATTGAAATGATTTTAGCACCGTACAAATTCAGGTTGTCTTCACAAAAGACACATAAAATCAATATGTGACTACCCTGGTTGTATCCAATTCTGAAGGATACAAAGATTGACGATGTCTGACTGCTCAGGAAAGCAACAAAGAAAAGCAATGCCTGTTTAGAACGAACTATTGATTCCAATAAGTAAGAAAATAACAATACTGCTTCAGGTTTGAAAGTTCATTTTGTATTGAAGACAAGTATGTGATTTAAGGACATTACACTAATATGATTTATTATATAGGCGAGATATCCTATATCTTTATATACTTACATGGTGTACTTAACGTTCTAATGAAGATCAATGCTGAAAATTATGAAATTTATTGATATTTGACATTTCTTTCGACCAAGTTGAACTTTAAGCCTTAAGCATCAGTGACGGGTCCTAGAAGGACGAAACATTGTATGATGTAGCATCACTGACAAGTCCTAGAAGGACGAAACATTGTATGATGTAGCATCACTGACAAGTACTAGAAGGACGAAACATTGTATGATGTAGCATCACTGACAAGTCCTAGGACGAAACATTGTATGATGCAAATTTATTATTTAACGCTACGACATGTATCTAATTCTACATTTGTCTTGAAAGGTGCTATTCACTCATGCGTCTGCTAAATCATTGAACTATGGTATCATTATCGTGGTACTGGTAAATAATGAAATTTTTAAAGGTTGCAATGTTCTTGGTTCATGACTCTGTAGAACAGAATAATGATAATAATTAGAGATATCTGAACATGTCACAATCATTTTCATTATAGTAAACAATTCATGTCGTCATAACGACAATTAAAAAAACTGATTGGTTGCACGTGCTTAGGCTTTTCACGCATCAACGGTAAATGGTTGACATTCAAGGCCCATGAATAAAATATGCAACCTTGTTATATCATATCAGTTAGCGTCACTTCTTATCGACAAATGTAAAATCACGAAACGATGGAAGGTGTGTAATACTGATAATTTAAAACAGGGAAAATAGCTGACAATATATTGGTATTTCTTATGACACGTATATAGAGAATTTTGATACAGCTTCCAGGTGTGGCACATAGGAACATTTCTGACTGAAGGGCAAATTTTAATTTACATATTATACAATTAAGGAAGATGTAGGGGCTCTTAATCATATTTCTCTTTGTTATATTGTATATTTCAATCATGGAAGTAAAGGGGCCAAGATAGATATACAAATGTATTGTAAATATTACAAACATAAAAAATACTACAATTTGTGATTAAATTTTAAGGATTAAATTAGATTATTATTATGTTTATGAACAATAACACAAAAACTGAGGAGTTCTCTTGATGTAAACCACAGTGTTTATCTAGAATACACTCCTCGACATTTTGTGTATTTTATGGATCAATCAGTTGAGAATAGACAACTAATTAACTTTTCATTAATTTGGCTGATTTTTTCCCCATAAAATCGTTAGGCATAGATAACATAATTTTGAAAAATAACATGACTGATGTGTTTTACATTGTGTAGTATTGATATCTTCTATCGATCTTCTATCGATTTTCTATCGATCTACTATCGATTTTACCATCACCTTAACATTCCAAATGCGGTGATGATAATGTGACATCCTGATTTATACACGTGCTCTTTAGGTCTAATGAATAAGCTACAATTAGCAGTTGAGTAATTATAAATCTCCTAACGAGATATGAAGTTGTTGATCGTTAATTTTATTGTTGTCAATAATGTTTTATCCCCTCAATAAATAGGGGTATCTGGACATACTCCACTTAAATACAATTATTGTGTAGTATGTATGGACCTAAAAAATACTTGACTAAAATTGATTTCAAAATGATATTGTAAAATTTTGTATACTACTTGAGCATATTTCTATTTTTAGAGACCGATTAACCGTTTTGTAGACAGATTTCTGTAGACAGATCTCATTTATTATATACGAGTTAACTCGTCCAACTTGTTGAGAACAGGAAGAAAAAAGCCCTGAACTGTACACACGATCAGATTTTTCATTAAGATTAAAATCTAGTCCGACAAATTCGTTTACATTTGATCAAACCTTTGCTTGTTTAATACACAAGAACAGGTTTACACTGCACAGTGTATATAAACATATGGTATCTAAACGTTATCGCTTCCATTTGTTGACACTAACCGTGTAACAAATGTCATTTAAGCGATAGAGAGGTGTGCTGGGATGGTAAAGGTCGTTATTTGACCTATGATGGCAGAGAGGTGTCCTGGGATGGTTCTGGTCATTATTCGACCTATGATGACAGAGAGGTGTACTGGGATGGTAAAGGTCGTTATTCGACCTATTATGACAGAGAGGCGTCCTGGGATGGTAAAGGTCGTTATTCGACCTATTATGACAGAGAGGTGTGCTGGGATGGTAAAGGTCGTTATTCGACCTATTATGACAGAGAGGTGTGCTGGGATGGTAAAGGTCGTTATTCGACCTATGATGACAGAGAGGTATCCTGGGATGGTAAAGGTCGTTATCCGACCCATGATGACAGAGAGGTGTCCTGGGATGGTAAACGTCTTTATTCGACCTATGATGACAGAGAGGTGTCCTGGGATGGTAAAGGTCGTTATTCGACCTATGATGACAGAGAGGTGTCCTGTGATGGTAAAGGTCGTTATTCGACCTATGATGACAGAGAGGTGTCCTTGGGCGGTAAGGGTCGTTATTCGACCTATGATGACAGAGAGGTGTCCTGGGATGGTAAAGGTCGTTATTCGACCTATGATGACAGAGAGGTGCCTTGAGAGTTTTCGTCGCTACAAAACTGAGTTGGCGGGGGGAGGACTTTGATGGTTTGATCAACGGGTCCGGTCAAGGTTGCGATCCGAACATTGGAGGCAGAGTTTGACTCAGTCATAGTTGTTTTTTCCCTGATAAAGCGTTACACGATATTTACTTGTTTTAACTGATTGTGTCGATAGGATCGTGTCGTTGTTTACCTGTTTAAGCCCGAACGTTGCACGACTCAAGTGGATGTAAGTTCGGAGAATTAACAATTACCTGGGAAACATTATCACAAATCATTTTCACTTACACATATACACAAAGGAATATGTTTTCATGGTGAAAAATAATATCTTACGTAAGCACTTCAAATGCCTGACTGATTTAAAGTATATGTACTTCATAGTAACCAATACACGCAGACATATTATATGGATTGCACGACTATCAGGAAGTACTTGTAGGTACGTTATGTCTCATTCTCAATACCACCTCTTAAAATCCATGTAGCCCACAGAACCGATATTGTAGATTTTCTTTGGACCGAATTTGATAATCGATAGAGATAATATGATAAAAGAAAGTTTAAGGTCATATTGGCGACAGTGACGATATAGCTATTCGGTCAGTAATTTTATAAATAATTTAATATGACATGTGTGCCACACAGACGAAGTAATTTATAAATCAACATATGGCAAACGTGCCCCTAGCCTCACCTTCTCGTAATGATACCATCAGTGTATGTGGTTACCGGAAATTATATGTAAGCTAAGAAATAAATAATTCCATCGGTGCTAAATTGTGTTTATATTTTATAAAGCTTTAAGTAGTTAGTGACAACACGTGAATTAATTTAATTTTCTACACACTAGCACTCCCTTTCAATAGCTACCGACAGTAACCTGTAACCTCAGAATACTAACGTTACCATGCTAGAGATGTTGATACTAATGATAAACGGTTTAAACATGTGACGTGGCCTAGTCCGTTTTTGATAAAGAACTTGACCATGGTCATTCTCAGGGTCACTCAACCGTATTGGTTGGGGATCTTTAATCTCTTATAGGGTCAATGTCACACAACTAGCAGGTTGACAAGTGCATATTAACAGCCGAATGGTTAAAATAGACTGACAATACAGACTGACCAATGGTTTAAAATCTTCTTATATATTCCAATAAAGATTGATACAATGTAGTTGATAATTCTGAAGAGATGTTCCAATAACTTTATATATAACTCCTTATAACAGAACCAGTGGAAGAATAGAGTGTGAGATTTCGATGACTACACGGTCACCTTCATCTTGTAACACAACCAGTAGAAGATAAGAGTGAGATTTCGATGACTACACGGTCACCTTCATCTTACAACAAACCAGTAGAAGATAAGAGTGTGATGTTTCCATGACTACATGGTCACCTTCATCTTATAACACAACCAGTAGAAGATTAGAGTGTGATGTTTCCATGACTACACGGTCACCTTCATCAAACATATGATAATGTCTGATGAAGTAATGGAAATGTCACACTCTTATCTTCTACTGGTTGTGTTATAAGATGAAGGTGACTGTGAAGTCATGGAAATGTCACACTCTTATCTTCTGCTGGTTGTGTTATAAGATGAAGGTGACTGTGTAGTCATGGAAATGTCACACTCTAATCTTCTACTGGTTGTGTTATAAGATGAAGGTGACTGTGAAGTCATGGAAATGTCACACTCTTATCTTCTACTGGTTGTGTTATAAGATGAAGGTGACTGTGAAGTCATGGAAATGTCACACTCTTATCTTCTGCTGGTTGTGTTATAAGATGAAGGTGACTGTGTAGTCATGGAAATGTCACACTCTAATCTTCTGCTGGTTGTGTTATAAGATGAAGGTGACTGTGTAGTCATCAAAAACGTCAAACTCTAATTTTCTGCTGGTTGTGTTATAAGATGAAGGTGACTGTGTAGTCATGGAAATGTCACACTCTAATCTTCTGCTGGTTGTGTTATAAGATGAAGGTGACTGTGTAGTCATGGAAATGTCACACTCTAATCTTCTACTGGTTGTGTTATAAGATGAAGGTGACTGTGAAGTCATGGAAATGTCACACTCTTATCTTCTGCTGGTTGTGTTATAAGAACTTCTGTTCGAAAAAAACCATGTGTATGAAGAAATGTTAACGTAACGTTGCATGAATTCACGAGTCGAGCTACACATATTTCTTATAACAATCTTTACAGCAGATAATTAGTACAGTAGAAATCGGAGTGATGGTCACGTCCTGTCTTGATAAAACAAAATGCAGGAACTTTCTCACCATTTATGCCTGAATTACATAAAAGTTGGACAAAGCGTTATCTGCCTTCATCTTTTCAGCATTTTAACAAGGAAAACTGATTCATCTTCACTTTCTTACTGTTCATCTATTTTTATATAAAGCTTTTTAAAGTTGCTTTCCGGCCATATAGTATAAAAAATAACCCTGAAAGCATAGTTTCTCAGTCCCCAAGTACTACTTCATGTAAATTGTTGTCACAGAAGGATTGTATCAGCGACGTACAAACGAAAAACAACTTTAGATACAACTTTAGAGTTAAACAGTAGACCCAGACAACCAATATCATCGTTCTACTGTTTTGTCCTGCTTGGACGGATCAGTGGTGCTAAGGGTGTTAGGTGTTTAAACCTACCAGAAGGTGGATGCACATTTCACATGATTAATGAGCTTGAGTAATTTTCAATATTGGAAGGGTTTTTAAAAGACCTTTTAATAAATGTGTAATGTGTACATATTGCACCGTACAACTATTTTGGGGCTTTCGTGTGGCAAACAGGATACGTGTGACCTTGTTAATACATCATAAAAGGCTCGATGAACCTATCCGGGATAGCAACCCTAACACTGGCAACTTGTCCTAGATTACACTGTAGTACCTGTAAGGATTTCTGTTCACAACACTTGTCAACAGCGTACGCAGCTTCTAGAACAGGGTTTTTCTCCACGTGGTATGTCTTCTTGAAAGTCAGGCCCATGTATTTTGCAAAAGGGACCACTACCAACCTGTTAAAAACAAAGTTTTGTTTTCATTTTTAAAGCAGAACAAGAGAAATATTCCTCACTGACCTACTTCTGTAGAAATAAAAACGATTCATGACTATGTAATGTGTACAGGTACGTGCCACCAGTGTTTACTTTCAGACATACTGCACAATAATGTAAAATCTATTTCCATACATACTGCACAATAACGTAAAATCTAGGTCCATACATACTGCACAATAACGTAAAATCTAGGTCCATACATACTGCACAATAACGTAAAATCTAGGTCCATACGTACTGCACAATAACGTAAAATCTAGGTCCATACATACTGCACAATAACGTAAAATCTAGGTCCATACATACTGCACAATAATGTAAAATCTAGGTCCATACATACTGCACAATAATGTAAAATCTATTTCCATACATACTGCACAATAATGTAAAATCTATTTCCATACATACTACACAATAATGTAAAATCTATTTCCATACATACTACACAATAACGTAAAATCTATTTCCATAAATACTGCACAATAATGTAAAATCTAGGTCCATATGAGTCATACATTGTGCTTACTTTAGTTAGGTACTGTTGACTTCATTACCTCACTTTAATTACCCAGTTCTTAGACTGAGAACGTGACATTACTTACTAAGACTGACCAAAGTTTACATGTTGTCGATGAAGCAGAAGACGCTTATTCTACCAGAATACCAGGTCTAATTTTCTATGTAATTTTTTCATGAGTTTCCATGTAAATCTTTCTTTCGTTCATGTTTTGTCTTAGTTTTACAGAATTTAAGATTGGATTATGACTGTAATGACATGTTGGTATATTGTTATAGGTTTTGCTATTATGTTTTAGTCTTTTTACCAATCTTTGATACACCATGTTTAATTAGACAATAGCTCATTAAACACGATTGACCCTTGACTTCTTCTACCTTTGGAACTCATGTTACGCTTCATGTGTCAGACTAAAAGACCATACGAATCTAGTGTGCAAAGGTCATTGCCACATACAGGCTAACGGCCCGCAGAAACCTTCTTCTAAATGAGTATAATACTTAAACAAGAAGAGACTTGGGGGTGGAAAAAGGACCACAGCGGGTAGAGATCTTCGACACTACCCTGGAATATTGGAACTATCCTGACATTAGACGAAGAAATTTGTTTTAATCCAAGATTATTTACAACAACAGCTATAAGTCAGACAAATATAACTGTATATGGTTGTTTTTTTTTCGATATGTACTTATTCCGGATTAATAACAAGTCGCTGTCTAAGTTTATAAACATATACTTTTTACAATGGTGTGTGTAGGCTTTGGGTTTTTTACAATGTCAGAGTTTGAAGAAGGATTAGAAATAAGCAGATTAGATATTTTGGTGTCCCAGTAAGAACACATTGTCCTTATCCTCACAGGCCCATTAAGTACAGACATTACCCGGTGTTTATAAAGGTCTTATCAAAGAGAAGTCACAGTTCACTGCCAACACACAGACATTCAACTTAGTACACAGGATAGGTTTTCAACATTTTTTTTCAACATTGAATTATCTTTTATTTGTGTTCCTATACATAAATCTATATCATTATTTAACAGTGGTATGATGTTATAACACGATGTACATTTTACCCTCGTGTAGTGTACGAACTAAGCGAGGAGGTGGAGAAAATGTCCAGCTATAGATTACATTATCAACGAGTCTAATAAGGAGGAACTATATATAAAACATTCGAGGTTATGGTAGATTTAGAAATAACTACACACCGGTGTAGATGGTGTTTTAGTTTTAACTGATATGAAGTTTGGCGCCGTATCAATAAGCGATCTTGTCATCGTGACCTTATGAACTATATAACATTTGTGGTAACGTATCAGAAACTCTGTATAGATCATACTTACACACACTATACAGTATCTAACACATAACTAGGAGACAGGATCGCAAATTTTCACCGGTTTGGTAAAAATGGTTGGCTAATTTAATTAATTGAAAATTAAACGGAAAGCTCGTGAGGCTATGACTAAATAGCGATCACAGGCGTATTAAAACTGATCTTTGATTTTAAAATTCTTTTTAATACGGAAGTTTTCGAAATAACACTACTATCGTAAAATTTCAAATCTAAAAAAAGAGTGGCGAGTGGTGTGCCTCAGACAACAAAATCTACCTGTATACAGGTACACATCGTGTAGCGTTGTGAGATCCCACAACTGTGATACTTCATGTAGGACATAAATACCCGGCAAACACTAAACAATAAACATTATAATCCCTCGGAAATTTAGACACATTTTTTATCATAGAATGCACTGGTGTGTGCACCTACATACAAACCTATCAGTAGAGTACATTAAATAATGTTGTTTTTATGACGAAGCTGTCTGTCACAGAGGTCTTTGATGTGCTCATCAGCTGTTCTGTATTAACTTTAGTTTTATATTCTTAAAACATTTGTTCCTATGAAATTTGTTGTTAAGTGACTACACATGGCTGTAGAATTCGTTCCATTTAAGGGTGGAAATTCAGGCAACATCACCTATATATGTGAAACAAGACCATAATCCTATCAACGTGTTTTTACACAATCAGTTATAAACAGAATATGATAAAATAATTAAGATAATTAGAAATAGGCCATAAACCCATACCTATAAACTTCTAATAGATATGATGTTCGTGTATTATATACAAACGAATTATTGTAAATTGCATCTGATAATATAATTCTAATAGGCAGTGTTAAACATGATGGTCTACCTACCGGTCATACACAAGTCTGATACCCAGTATAATGACTCCTATGGCCACACTAGGGAGGAGAATGTGTCTCTCTAGAGGATAATATACTCCTGGAGGGGGGTTCTCGAACTCCTCCCATGTTGCATTAAATAACCAGTGTTCAGAATTCCAGAACCATACTCGAAAGTCGCGAATCGTTTCCATCGCCACTACACCCGGTGTAGTTGGGCCGATAACCTCGCGATAGACTAGTACGGATCAGCCATGTGTGTCTGTATGTGTGTAGGACGTATCACAGAACTCCAGGGCTGCCCTATAGGACTGTGTTTTGATGACCGTGTTAAACAATTTCCGTATTCATTATGTCATGAAATTTATTTATATCTCGCCGATGGAATTGTTTCACTGTTTAGTTAGTTTCCTATGATGAGTTTATCATTTTATGTTTTGAAATCATTGATGTACATGTGAATTTACATTTGCCGTGAATTAGCAATCTATATTTCTACTTGATATGTATTTATTATCAATATAGATATATATTTATATATATCCTGATATTTATCTTTGTCTATAAGCTTCTTTTGTTTTTCATCTTATGTGGATTTTTATCATTGCTTCAGATGAACTTATCATCCTACAATTTTGTATATAAATACACGTGAATTCTGATCTTTATCATAATATCATCCTACAATTTTGTATATAAATACAATTGAACCCTGATCTTCATCATATGAACTTATTATCCTACAATTTTGTATACAAATACATGTGAATCCTTTATCATTGATTAATGTTAAACTTATCATCTTGTATGAATTTTATCTTTGTTTTAAATATATTTAGATTCACCTTTATGAGATAGATGTATTTGAGCACGAATTAGACTATCTACCCCTGAAAACTTATCTTATTTCAATTTATTAACACACATATATGTATTTTTTCACATGGTGTACACGAACAGAGTCGTTGTAGGAATTTATGATAAAATGCATTTGTAACCAAATTATGAACTCATCATGGATTAATGTATAATTGATGATCTAACGACCAATTTCCATTAATGAGGGAAGACTGCCTCATGTGCCTATGGAGATGGAAGAGATCTAACACAGTGTTCCAAGTTGTATCATGAATTATTATTATGTGCCTACTTGCATTCTGTACCAACTCTGTTAACCTGGCATAGTTACAGCTGTACACCACTGTCACTATAAACACAGGTAAACAAGCCGATACTCATCACAAATAGGTACATCGAGGTGGTATTTGATGGGATCGATAGCATAAAAACTGATAAATAAGACAGGTCATCGACTCTAGCGTCCTAACCTGATCCCAACTATCTCTCTCTGATAACACGTATTTAGATGGACTGTCAAATTCAGTATTTGATGCTGTGTTTTTGAAAATTAAAGATGAAATTTATTTTTCTGTTGAGAGGACAATTTTCACGATGACACTAATAACTGGAATTTTATGACCTGGCTTTAGTTCCTGTTTCTTATCTACATCAGTGATCCGAGATATGTATACCATACATCTATGGCCAATGAATAAAACCATTATCTTCCCGTTGCGACTGTAGAGAGTAGATCAGGCTATACACAAGCAAAATCAGTCATGTGTATCGCTAAGTAAAGATGATATGTTATGGAACACCAGAAAGGCCGTATATGACAAATGATTGAAATTCTTTAAAAATATAATTTTTACATCATTTCATGTGAGTTTTTTAAAAATATATATTTTGAATATCCATCATTTAGTTTTGTGAATTCATCATGAATTTATCACCGTGTGTTGTGAATTCATCACCGTGTGTTGTGAATTTTCAGTGTGTGTTGTTTAACTCTGTGTGTTGTGAATTCATCTGTCATGTGTTTGAATTCATCACTCTGTGTGTTTTTTCTGTATTGTGAATTCATCATTTTGTGTATTGTGAATTCATTAGTGTGTGTTATGAATTCATTAGTGTGTGTATTGTGAATTCATCATTGTGTGTTATGAATTCATAACTGTGTGTTATGAATACACTGTGTGTTGTGAATACAGCTGTGTGTTTGAATTCATCACTGTGTGTTGTGAAGTGTGTTTATTCATCACTGTGTGTTGTTAATTCATCCCTGTGTGTTGTGAATTCATCACTTTGTGTTGTGAATTCATCACTCTGTGTTGTGAATTCAACAGTGTGTTGTGAATTCATCACTGTGTGTTGTGAATTCATCAATTTGTGTTGTGAATTCATCACTGTGTGCTATGAATTCATCACCGTGTGTTGTGAATTTATCACCGTGTGTTGTGAATTCATCAGTGTGTTGTGAATTCATCAGTGTTATGAATTCATCACCGTGTGTTGTGAATTTATCACCGTGTGTTGTAAATTCATCAGTGTATTGTGAATTCATCACCGTGTGTTGTGAATTTATCACCGTATGTTGTGAATTCATCAGTGTATTGTGAATTCATCACTGTGTGTTATGAATTCATCACCGTGTGTTGTGAATTTATCACCGTGTGTTGTAAATTCATCAGTGTATTGTGAATTCATCACCGTGTGTTGTGAATTTATCACCGTATGTTGTGAATTCATCAGTGTATTGTGAATTCATCACTGTGTGTTATGAATTCATCACTCTGTGTATTGTGAATTCATCACTGTGTGTTGTTAATTCATAACTGTGTGTTATGAATACATCCCTGTGTGTTGTGAATACATCCCTGTGTGTTACGAATTCATCACTCTGTGTGTTGTAAATACATCAGTGTGTGTTGTGAATTCATCACTGTGTGTTGTGAGTTCATCAGTGTGTTTTGAATTCCTCACTGTGTGTTGTGAATTCGTCACTGTGTGCTATGAATTCATCACTCGATGTGTTGAGAATTCATCACTGTGTGTGTTGTGAATTCATCACTCTGTGTGTTATGAATTCATCACTCTGTGTATTGTGAATTAATCACTCTGTGTGTTGTGAATTCATCACTTTGTGTGTTGTGAATTCATCCCTTTGTGTTGTGAATTCATCACTGTGTGTTGTGAATTCATCACTTTGTGTTGTGAATTCATCACTCTGTGTGTTGTGAATACATCACTTTGTGTTGTGAATTTATCACCGTGTGTTGTGAATTCATCACTCTGTGTGTTATGAATTCATCACTCTGTGTGTTGTGAATACATCCCTGTGTATTGTGAATTAATCACTCTGTGTGTTGTGAATTCATCACTTTGTGTGTTGTGAATTCATCCCTTTGTGTTGTGAATTCATCACTGTGTGTTGTGAATTCATCACTTTGTGTTGTGAATTCATCACTCTGTGTGTTGTGAATACATCACTTTGTGTTGTGAATTTATCACCGTGTGTTGTGAATTCATCACCGTGTGTTGTGAATTTATCAGTGTGTGTTGTGAATTCATCACTCTGTGTGTTGTGAATTCATCACTCTGTGTATTGTGAATTCATCAGTGTATTGTGAATTCATCATTTTGTGTATTGTGAATTCATTAGTGTGTGTTGTGAATTCATCACTCTGAGAGTTGTGAATTCATCACCGTGTGTTATGAATTCATAACTGTGTGTTATGAATACATCCCTGTGTGTTGTGAATACATCCCTGTGTGTTGTGAATTCATCACCGTGTGTTATGAATTCATCACTCTGTGTATTGTGAATTCATCATTGTGTGTTATGAATTCATAACTGTGTGTTATGAATACATCCCTGTGTGTTGTGAATACATCCCTGTGTGTTGTGAATTCATCACCGTGTGTTATGAATTCATCACTCTGTGTATTGTGAATTCATCATTGTGTGTTATGAATTCATAACTGTGTGTTATGAATACATCCCTGTGTGTTGTGAATACATCCCTGTGTGTTGTGAATTCATCACTGTGTGTTGTTAATTCATCCCTGTGTGCTATGAATTCATCACCGTGTGTTGTGAATTTATCACCGTGTGTTGTGAATTCATCAGTGTATTGTGAATTCATCATCGTGTGTTGTGAATTTATCACCGTGTGTTGTAAATTCATCAGTGTATTGTGAATTCATCACCGTGTGTTGTGAATTTTTTCACCGTGTGTTGTGAATTTATCAGTGTATTGTTAATTCATCCCTGTGTGCTATGAATTCATCCATGTGTGCTATGAATTCATCACCGTGAGTTATGAATTCATCACTCTGTGTATTGTGAATTCATCACTCTGTGTGTTGTTAATTCATAACTGTGTATTATGAATACATCCCTGTGTGTTGTGAATACATCCCTGTGTGTTACGAATTCATCACTCTGTGTGTTGTAAATACATCAGTGTGTGTTGTGAATTCATCACTGTGTGTTGTGAGTTCATCAGTGTGTTTTGAATTCCTCACTGTGTGTTGTGAATTCGTCACTGTGTGCTATGAATTCATCACTCTGTGTATTGTGAATTCATCCCTTTGTGTTGTGAATTCATCACTGTGTGTTGTGAATTCATCACTTTGTGTTGTGAATTCATCACTCTGAGATCCCTGTGTGTTGTGAATTCATCACTTTGTGTGTTGTGAATTCATCACTCTGTGTGTTGTGAATACATCACTTTGTGTTGTGAATTCATCATTTTGTGTTGTGAATTCATCACTCTGTGTGTTGTGAATACATCACTTTGTGTTGTGAATTCATAAGTGTGTGTTATGAATACATCCCTGTGTGTTGTGAATACATCCCTGTGTATTGTGAATTCATCACTCTGTGTGTTGTGAATTCATCACTTTGTGTGTTTTGAATTCCTCACTGTGTGTTGTGAATTCGTCACTGTGTGCTATGAATTCATCACTCTGTGTGTTGTGAATACATCAGTATGTGTTGTGAATTCATCACTGTGTGTTGTGAATTCGTCACTGTGTGCTATGAATTCATCACTCTATGTGTTGTGAATTCATCAGTATGAATTGTGAATTCATCACTCTGTGTATTGTGAATTCATCACTCTGTGTGTTGTGAATACATCAGTATGTGTTGTGAATTCATCACTGTGTGTTGTGAATTCGTCACTGTGTGCTATGAATTCATCACTCTATGTGTTGTGAATTCATCAGTATGAATTGTGAATTCATCACTCTGTGTGTTGTGAATTCATCACTCTGTGTGTTGTGAATTCATCACTGTGATTTTATCATTGCATGGTTTGAATTCGCGATTAGTATCACCGTTATCTTT